CAAATTACGCAAACATAAAAGCGACAAAAGATCAGACTTCATAAACTGGGGACAATTGCGACGAAATGAATGATAATTTTGAATGTAAACATAATACACTTGTACTGTACTCCAGTTCTATATTTATTCTCTCGATACTGCAACCTTACATTGTGGGAAAGAAAACAAAGAAACAAATTTTAAATAATTACCATTCAAACTAATTTTCTTAAACTCGATCTTCAACGCTCAGTAATTTTTTAGCAAATTTATTTCAATATAAACTCTGAATATTGTCTTTATTTCTTAATTTAAAATGAATAAACAAACAAAAACAAAATATTTAATAAAAAACACATTTTAGTAAATAGTTATAATCGTTAATAATTAAATACTTTTGAGTATGAAAATTGGAAAGCAGTGGTTGGCATAAGGCAAATAGACACAAAAAAAAAAAAAAACTAGCAATAAAATGTAATAAATAAATGAAAATAAATCATAAACTGCTGCCACTACACTTCCCTTTGTGATCTATTTCTAAATACTTGAAATGTGTCCGCATATCGGCTCGGGACATTTTTGTGAAATTTTTGCCAAATTAGCGTTAAACTTTGTGATAAATATCGCAGAAAAATGGCCAGTGTAAATCGAAACATTTGCAGAAAACACGAATGTCCAACTGTTACTGAAGAGGATTAATGCAAAACAAACAATATATTATCCAATTTGAACTTTAAGAAGAAAAAAGTCGAAATAAAGCGAAATAACAGCTGCCGCAACGAATCTATTGTTTTATTATTCCTTGAACATGTTTTCATTAAGTGGTGTGCTGATACTAGCGAAGAAATAAGCGCGTAGAGAGTATTGTGCTTGTCGCCAGATGTATTTTTGACGAGAGAAAGGTTTTCATAAATATCCGTCAGCTACTTGAAGCGAGCTTACTGCAAACTTTAACTCAATCTTTATCGAAAACATATACTTATTTCATTATTAAATTATATTTTAGTAGCGGAGTGATATCCAATATCAATATAACTTAAATATTTCTTATGACAAACTGCACAATTTATTTTTATCCAAACAGTATAAACATTCGCTTATAAATAAAAATTTACATTCTGCAACAGTCAATAAACAACAAATGAATACAAAACAACAAATTTGTACTGCCGACGTATCGCCAGAACTACATACGCTCAAATTGAAATCATTCGCGCTCACTCACTGTCTATTACTTTTGATTTCTTCATACGCCTTTTTCCACAACTTTTCATATTGCTTCGGCAGTTTGCTGTGCACCAGTTCTGCGTATTCCTTCAAAGCAGCGTCCGAGATTTCCGCATAGTAAGGAAGCGCCTCCAAACGCTTCAACCACTCCGCCAACTTCGGCCACTTGTTACTATCGATGGCGACAAATGTGACACTTAAGACGCTGACCGTCGAAACGATGCTGAAATCGGCGATGGTCAAATGTTCACCAGCCATATAGGTGCTTTTGGTGAGAAATGTTTCCAGCAAAGTGTAGGCATTTCGTATTTGCTCGAACTTCTCTCTTGGTATATCGGTGATATTCTGTTGGAAGAGTGGACCGGTGATTTGCTTCATACAAGTGGCAAACAATGTGGCTGCTTCGTAGTATAAACGATGATCCACCACGGCGCGCGCATAGAAATCTGCTGGATAAAGTGTGTCATCCTTCCCGTACTTACGTACCAGATAACCGGCAATGGCATGTGAGTCCACAAGTATGTGTGCACCATCCTCAAGCGTGGGTACTGTGTGCTGGGGATTCTTTTCTACAAATTCCGGCTGCATTTGTTCTTTGGCCCAGATGTTCACCTCACGAAATTCAAAGTCTAAATCGAGTGCTTTAAGCGTGAGCAAGACGGTACGTGTCGGTGCGCTCTTTTTGGTGCCATATAAGATCAATTTCGATGCCATTGCTTTCATTCGTTTATATTTAATACCACTGTAAAGTCCTAACGAAGACAAAATACGCGTAAGTCTGTTTCCTCTGCTGGCTGCTTGAGTACACCCACTGCTCCTAAGCGTTATTCCAGCATTAACTGACTGAATAATCACGTACACTCATTTATATATGTACATTGTTTCCAATCACTCTTCCAGAGCAATTGATTCTCCGTTGCGATAAAAGCTTTGGGCATATACTGCAGATAAGATATTAATGACGTAAGAAACTTGCTTTATTGACCACACATTCAAACATACATTGTTCGTTAATTTATTTTAAGAGGGTAAAAAAAAAAATAAACAAAAGGCAGCAGTTCTGATTACATTCAAATTATGTTATTTTTAAATTGAGGCGACTACAGTGGCCACAACGACTGATCGTCACCTTTGCGCGCGTCACTTAATGCTTAATTAATTTTAATTAGAGAAAAGCTCTAATTTTGACGTCATTTTGCGGACGCATTAACAGTTAACCTTTATTTATCTGTATAAACATACATATGTATTTGGTATGTCCAGTTATGTGTCTTGGAAATGTAAAAATACTCTTTATTGCACAGAATTTGTTTAGTTGCATGGAGGGCAAAATACAACAACAACTGATTTCAAAAGCTTGGTTTCGAAACATTAGTGTGCGTATGGTTTTTCTAATATGGAAAGTAGGCTGTTTTACTAAGTGTGCGTCATAAAATTGTACAGTTCACTTTGTCTGCAATCGTAAGACTTCAAACAGATTATTCACTTCCCAAGTATTTGTGACTGAACTCAGACTCTTCATTAAATTAGCGTATAAATCGCGGAAATGTGACAGTAGAATTCAAATAAACAGTATAAAGCACTGTTATTCTAGTTTTCCTTTACAGTAATCCATCCTTGGCATTAGACAAAAAAGAACCTTGAATACGTATTTTACTTTGAACTTGAAGCTACTCATCGGAATATAACGGGTACTTCATTAGGGACGCTACAAAAGTAGACCGATTGGGGGAGCAAAGAAGACCCAAATCAGTCTCTCACATGTCGTTATCAAGCGTTGGGCATCTCTGTGACGTCGTTTTGGTGAATTTGGCGAAAAGATCTTGACCTACATTCTTACAAGATCAAATTGACGCAAGAACTGAAGCCATTTAACCACCAGAATCGTCGTATGTTCGTAAATTGGGCTGAATATAAACTTCAAAATTGGCGAAGAATCATCTTCAGCGATGAGGCTCATTTCTGGCTGAATGGTTTCGTCAATAAGCAAAATATACGTTATAGGTCAGGCGGAAATCCACACGTACTCCATGAGTCACCATTACGCCCCGAAAAAATTACGGTTTAGTGCGATTTATGGGCGGGCGGCGTTATTGGGTCAAACTTCTTCCGCGATGATCAAGGCCAGAACTTTACTTTGGATGGGAATCGCTATCGCTCAATAATAACCAAATATTTTTGGCCCGAATTGGATGGTATGTCACAATCGATTTATTGAAAACCAAGTTTGGTGAACCGTGTTATATCACAAAATGGCCCAGTCAAATGGTCGCGTCGGTCGCGCGATTTTACGCCCTTAGACTATTTCCTGTGGGGCTACGTCAAGTCTATGGTCTATGCCAACAAGCTAGCGACGATTGAACTTTACCATGAACGATATCGTTGCTGGGGACATTGGGACTTTATAAATTTTGAAGCTCAAACAAATCTTACACTCAAAATAACCTAAAGACTTTAACTTGGCTATAATTATAGATAAGAAGAGATTTACTCCTGATATAACATTCATACATTTCAGCTGAGAAGCACAGAGGATATAAAAAGCTCAATCATCTTCAAAAATGCCCATTTAAAGTATTGCCTAGACAGTGCTAATGGCTCAAGAGGTGTCAATGCGCGGTGTTTTGCTGTCTGAAAAGCACTAAAAAGATGGAATAGGTTCTATGTCCATTCTCGTATGTATACCTGAGGAAATTTATAATTTATCCATTTGAATACAACTAGCGCAACTGATTCAAAAGAGTGGTATGCTTAGAACTGTTAGATCAGATAAATCGAATTGCACTTTGAAAGAAGTTAACATTCTTATATCACTAACAACAAATTTTCATTTATTAGACCGGGAAATATATCTGTTTATATCCGTCCAAAAACTGCCATTAGAAGGCGAAGTATTTTAAGGATTATAAAAATTGTATCGTCAGCTTTTGAGATATCTGAATGAAATTTAATGCATAGGTGCATATCGACATTCTATTGATCATTTATCAGAATCGGCCAGATCGGACAACTAAACCACATATCTCCTATACTCCACCTTAAAAATCACTGGCTGGAAACCCAAAGTCTCTCGGCCAAAGTTTTTTAGAATGATCCGTAAAAAATCTCCCGCATATTTTACAAAAAGAATCGACAAGTTCTATAATATACGCATCCAATATTAAGCAAGCTAAGGTCAAAACTTTCGGAAAATAATAACTATTAACATAATCTTTGGAATGTTTGACGACTATTGGTAAACACTGTACATTTATCATAATTCCATAATCAATTGTGGAAATCATGTGAGTGGATGTCTGTATTTCTATTTATGTCATTCCTCTATTCCATGGCAAAATATCCGTTAGTTAACTGACATTTAATAGAAAGTAATCAAAAACAAACGAAATTTAATTGATTCAATTGAGAAAACAGGTGAAAAATGTCAGGTATTATTCTATATGGCAACGACATCAGTCCGCCTGTCCGGGCATGTTTGCTAACGCTGAAAGCACTAAAACTGAAATTTGAATACAAACATGTAGATATTTTGGCGGGTGAACAATTGACCGATGACTTCATCAAAAACAATCCACAACACACTGTGCCCACATTGAATGATAACGGCGTCTGGCTGTGGGACTCGCACGCGATCTGTGCTTATCTTGTCGACAAGTATGCTAAAGATGATTCACTATATCCGCGAGATTTGATCTTGCGCGCCCGCGTCCATCAGCGACTCTACTTCGATGCCAGCATACTCTACATGTCATTGCGCTGTATCACGCGACCGATGTTCAAGAACAACGTATCCATCGTGCCACGTGAAAAGACACAGGGAATTATCGAGGGTTATACATTGCTTGAGAAGTTCCTGACAAGCGCTCCTTATTTAGTTAGCGATTGTCTGACCATAGCGGATTTTTGTTGTGTTGCCACGGCAACGTCGCTGGGAGGTGTGATCGAATTGGATGCTACAAAATATCCCAAAGTGAGCGCTTGGATAGAGCGCTTGAAGAAATTGCCATACTACGAGGAAGCAAACGGTTGGGGATGCAAGAGGTATATAGACATACTTAAGACACGTCTCACTGCAATTGTCTCCTGAATAAATAACCATTTTATTTACTTAGCTGTAATATTGAAATAAATGGCGCATATTAGTGTGAAAAGTTCCTAATTTTTGTGTTAAGCAGACAGAAAAGGCTTATTTTATTTAAATTATTGGCATTGTACTTTTTATACCCTGTATAGCTTTTAATAAGTTTGCCACGAAGTAGGAAACTTAGGAGATCCCATAATGTATGTTGTATATAGAAATGAACAGCGTAACGAGTTGACTCAATTTGGCTATGTCCATTTGTCTACATGTGCGAACTATTTCTTAAGTCTTCTTCTGCGCACCTGGATAGTCAGGAGAAACATTTTCGCGTGTCGTGTTTCTGTGAGTAGTGCAAGCTGAAAATGCAGCATTCGTTAGAGCAGAGGTACGCGATTGAATTTTGAACCTCGATAAATCTGCGGCAGAGACGTTTGATATGATCAAGCAGGCTTACCCAGGTGTAGCAATGCTTTAGCAAGAAGTGGTGTGTTTCGGCCTGGTGCCAGCCTTTTTGGAGGGCCAGGAAGAGGTCGCTGATGAAGGCCGGAGGAATGAGCAAAATCAAAGTGAAAACGATGCTCATTGTCATTTTTGACATCAAAGCCATCATTCACCATGAATTTGTTCCTCCTGGACAAACCGTCAACGCCAAGTTCAACATGGGAGTATTTAAGAAACTCAAACGAAGACAAGACATTGCAGCCGATTGGAAATTGCACCACGTCAACGGCTACCTAACCAAGGCCGGCATCCCCACGCTTCCGCTGCCGCCCTACATTCCAAATGTGGCTCCACCGAACTTTTTTTTCCTTGCCTGAAAAGGCCGATGAAAGGCCAGCATTTTTAGGCAACAGAAGGGATCCAAGCAGCATGCACCTCAGCTCTCAAGGCTATTTGGGAGAATGTTTTCTGTGAAGCTTTCAATGCTTGAAAATCGCGCTGGCAGTGCTGCATCGACGCAAAAGGAGCCTACCTAACCCAACGATTTTCGAACTTTCAGGTGACTTTATACCGCATCTCAACGAAAATGAGGGAACGTACTTTACTGATAACAGTGTATCTTTGTGTCTAAAATGGATAAAATTGGGCGAAAACTTAATCTAGCTCTCATATAACATCCGGTGAGGTACCTTAGTGAATATCGGGGAGCATTTTATTAGTATGTGTCATATTAATAGCATGTAGTATTGACAAAAATAGATAAAATCGGGTACTATCCCCAACTACATACATATCTATAATGATTTTAAGTGTTTCTAACAAACCTTCTTTCGAATATATGGTTGTATAAGTTATATGTGACCTGGTCTACGGAAAGGGGTTAGGTGTCAAAAAATCAATTTTCACTTTTTAGTTTGATTCGGATGGAAGATGAGATGCTTTTTCACGTGATAGAAAACTAGTTTTCGCACGTTAGCTCCCTTTTCGTAGACCAGGTCACATATATGTATAGTATATGTTTAAATTGGATTCCGATCCTCTCGTTGACGTTTTATACCCGAAGATATTTCTCCAGCTTTCACAATTGCAAGTTGCAAGGGTATAAAATAATCGATTGCACACAAACTTAACCCTTCCTTACTTAAATAATGACTTTTAATGAATTTTTCTAACAAACCTTATGCCGAATTAGTCATCAGTGATTGGATTTTGATCTTCTAGTTGACGCTTTGCACCGGCTTCTCTGTATGTTAAATCGTTTTTAGATTTATTAAGAATGTAATATACTTCTATGTATGTATGCATATAGTTCCATGGACTATTTGCTTTCACAATAAACTCACTTTATGTAAAACTTAAACAATTACTTTAGTTTGAACCGATTTGTTTGCTTGTAAACACTTTATCATTCCGGTTGCTTGTATTTAATGCACAAAGATAAGATACATACATATATGTATGTGTAATGTTAAGTGTATCATCAAATTGGCAAATGTGCTTTATCATCATTACACGCACATTAAACACATATGTACATATGTACGCATAAATTTCTCTACAAATAGCGCAAATATATAAAAAAGATTTTAGTCGAAATTTAGGGCTTGTAGTGACTACTCGTAGAAGTAAATAAAGTTCCGAAATGAGTGAAAAACTCGTTCTCTACGGCCTCGAAAGAAGTCCGCCGGTACGCGCCGTTTTACTCACACTAAATGCTTTGAATTTGGAATTCGAACTAAAAGAGGTGGATACATTTAAAGGTGAACAATATTCTGAGGAGCAGTTGAAAAAGAATCCAGCGCATACAATTCCAGTACTCGAAGTTGATGGCAAATATATAGCCGATTCTCACGCCATTATTGCCTTTTTGGCTAGCAAATATGGCAAAGACGATTCGCTCTATCCAAAGGATCTGTATCAACGCGCCATTGTCGATCAACGTTTGCACTATGAGAATGGTGTTATCTTTAACGAAACATTGAAACAACGTTTGCGTCCATTACTTACAAGCGAACTGCCACAAGCGGCGGTTGATGAAGCATTTAAAGCCATTTGCGATGTATACACTGTGCTGGAGGCTTATCTCAATCAAAATAAATATATGGCTGCTGATCATTTAACAATAGCCGACCTAAGTCTCCTAACAACGGTTGCTGTTATGGATTTAATTGTGCCAGTCGTGGCGGACAAGTGGCCAAAGTTGACAGCGTGGTTGGAGAATATGAAGCAGTTGCCATATTATGAGAAAGCAAACGGCAAAGCGTTGAAGGCAAGCGAGGAAGTAATTAAATCGGCAGTGGCAAAGTATAAGATATAAGAAACAGTATAATATAGTGAAATCTCCCATAATCGGACATTGGCGGGACCAACCTTTCTATCCGGTAGAGGGATTATCCTTAATAAATATCAAGAAATACTGGAAATGTTGGGACTGCCCAAGGTGCACGGTTAATGGAGATATGCTCTTAATAGAACCTTATAGATTATAGATTTAACCTTACTTATAAATGAACAAATGTATATTGTTAAGGAAATCTTCTTTTATATGACAAATAAAAACATTTTGTGAGTCCGTTTTATGACTTTTAAATTTGACTTTAATCAACTTGTTTTTTTCCGGAACAACAGAAATGAAAATAATTTGTGTTTCAAAAGAAAACATTATATTCTCCGACCTGACTTTTGCTTGAATCCTTTGAATTTTTATACCCTGTATATGGTATGTTGAGTCTGACACGAGTTTTATACAGAGCATCCAAAGAAAACGTCCGAGAATATACATATGTATGTATAAAGAAATGGCCAGCATGTAGAAGAAAATAATAGGGCTGAGTCGATTTAAAAAAATGTATTGAACAAATCGTTACAATTCTTTAAAAACTTTCATAATGGGCTCCTTCTGCGTTGATGCAGTGCTACTTCCAAGCATTGAAGGCGTCATGGAAGGGATTCTCCGAAATAGCCTTGACAGCCGAGGTGCATGCTGTTTAGATCTCCTCTGTCATCTCAAAATGCTTGCCTTTCATCGGACTTTTCAGCAAGGAAGCAAAAAAATGTCCGGGGAGCACATCTAGGTTGTAGTCAAGTGATTTTATAAATCTAAAATGAAACTCGGAGTAGAGCAAACCACATACTTTTACATGTTTACTATGGCTCTGCTGTGGCTTCCGACAAAGTGAGAGCGGTAGTGTTAGCATAGCAATGGTTATATAAATTTTGCTGCTACGGAGTAGAAAACCCCGAATGAGAATCGTTTTCACTTTGAATTTGCTCATTCATCAGCGACCTCTTCCCAGACAGGCCGAAACACATCACTTTTTGCTAAAGCAACATCTGCCTGATCATATCAAACGTCTCTGTCGCAGATTCACCGTGCTTCATATAGAATTTAATCTCATATCTTTGCTCTAACGAACGCTGAGTTTTCGGCTTTCACCACTCACAGAAACACGTCGTGCGAAGATGTTTGTCCTGAATCACCTGGTGCTCGGAGAAAACTGACCAGTCGCTCGTTCGTTACCTAAGAACGGAGAAAGAAAATCAGTCCTATTACTTTCCGGACAACCCTGTAGCTTCGATGCAACTGAAATTAAAGAGTTTCCCCATTATTCTCTTGCAACATGATGCTACAGGTTGTAATAGTTTTGTTCGCCTAACGCTTGTACGTATCACCTAAAACTAAGTGAGATAGATAAGATTATAAATGATCAGGTTAACTAAACGAGTTGAAATCCAGGTGACTGTCTGCCTGTCCGTGCGAGGTGCTTATCTCCTTAAACTTCACAAATTCCAGTAATGGCTTGCTTGGCATTCTTCCCTTTTTTATACAAAAATTTCATTTTCACTAATTTTTGAACAGAAAATGAAGCTTAGAATCTCACCTGTCCAACACTATATGCTATGTCGCAATGTGAATGGTAGCACTGGAGATATACGATTGCACCGTCATCTAAACAAAACAAAAGACTATTTCGACTAGCCAATATTTTGCGAGTTGCAAGAGTACAAAATGAACTATTGCACCCGAACTTAACCCTTCCTTACTTGTATAATGACTTTAATTGGATTGGACTTTAATTGGTGATTGGATTTTGATCTTCTAGTTGACGTTTTGCACCGGCTTCTCCGTATGTGCTTTATCATTTGCGATGTATACACTGTGCTGGAGACTTATCTTAATCAATATAAATATAATTATCTTAATCATTTAACCATAGCTGACCTAAGTCTCGCATCAACGTTTACTCTTATGAATTTAGTTGCGCCAGTGGTGGCGGACAAGTGGCCAAAGTTGACAGCGTGGTTGCAGAACATGAAGCAGATGCCATATTATGAGAAAGCAAAAGCCAAAGGTTTGAAAGCACTCGAGGAAACATTTAAACTGGCATCGGCAAAACTCAAGGCATATGAAATGATGATAATATAGTGAAATCTCCAATAAGCGTACACTGGTGGAAGCAGTCTTTCTGTCCGTTTAAGAGATTGTCCTTAATAAATATCAAAAAAAATTTGAAAATGTTGAGATAGCAACTTAAAATTAGCAAACGTCATTTTTCTTTCAAGATATTACTCACTCGGAACCGTCAATAACTACTGTAGCACATACATGCATAGCTGCCATACAAACTACTCGATCAAAATCAAGTCCCTTGTATGGTAAACTGTTATTTTATCCAATTCAAGTCTACTAAGAAATTTTTTGATAGGTATATTATATAGCTGTTATACAAACTTCTTCTTCTTTTCTGGCGTAGACCCTGCTTACGTAACTCGTTGTTAACTCGGCTAACAACAGCGCGCCAGTCGCTACGTGACGCCAATTGGAAATTCCAAGCGAAGCCAGGTCCTTCTCCACCTGATTTTTTCAACGGAGTGGAGGTCTTCTTCCTTAATTCCTTCCTCTGCTTCCCCCGGGGGGTATTGCGGCGAATACTTTCAGAGCTGGAGTGTTTTCGTCCATATATACGACATGACCTAGCCAACACAGCCGTTGTCGCTTAATTGACTGAACTCAGTCAATGTGGTCGTATATCTCATACAGCTCGTCATTCCATCGAATGCGATATTCGTCGTGGCCAACGCGCAAAGGACCATAAATCTTTAAGGTTTAATTATTTCACCATACCTTATGTAACTGCTTATGAACGTACATATATTTAAATGTACTTACTGTAATTGTGAAACTAATATATATGTAGATAAAGTGCATACTTTTATATTCATTCATTTATTATATGTATATATATTTAAAAGTAAACAATTTTCAATAAATACATACATACATGAATACAACTTACTTACATACATAAATTTTGGCATCACATAACACGGTCAGCAATGCTATAGCAGTTTTTGAAGTACAAATATAAATTGGTTTATGTTTAACAATTGAAATATAAATATTTCGATAATTTACTATATAGTCGTTTTCGTTTGCGAAATTCAACAACAATAAAAGTGCATGATTACTTTTTGCTGTTCGCTTTTATTTCTTGGTAAACTATTTATTTCAATATAATTAATAATTTATATTGAGCAAAGGTGTATGTACCTCGTTTTCCATACATAAGGTTATATCAATAAAAAGGCTTATTAGAGGATTCTGGGTATTTAATTGTGTATAATAAAGGTCCTAATTTACTTCAATAATATATTTGTTTTCAATTCTAATACACAACATGACAATACATTTGAGACAAATACATGTACACGTGTACATATGGCTTTAACTAGTACATATGAATATATACGCGTATATGTACGACACACACACACATATGTACAATATATTACCAACATGAATATGTATGTAAGTGCGTGAACAATCTAATATGCTTTAATATACCTTTTTATTTTACGGAAGTTGGTTGTATTCTTGTGCGTTGCTTCTTTTTCACTCATCGCAATATTTTCTTTTTGCTATACTGCACCCCCGACCCATGACATACGCGCTTCCGCGGGAATCGTTGATCTTTTTTATGAGTGAGTATGATTAGGTGAATCTTTGAGAACTATGCCGTAAGCTAACCTCTCAATTCAGATGGTTGGCGGACTCACAATTGACCATATTTAAATCAAGAAAGGTAAACGGTATAGCGGTGTATATGAAATGGATGATTGCGAAAGGAACTACGCGGTCACATAATATTCACGTTGGCGTTTTTGACATTTTTCACGTGCAATATAACACAACGCAATGGTTATGAGAATTGCAATTGTTACCCCCATTCCTATGCTAACCCACATTATCTCCTCGTTGATGCCCACGTACGAGCGCCCTTGAAATAAATTCAAATTAAATGCAATTTTTAGTAAGAAAATATTTATGGAATTGACATATAATAAGAATATATCACTTACCGTTGTAATAATGATTGGAATAGCCAGCTTTCCCGGCAACCCTGCCTGCTGGCATTTTGATGGTAATATATAAGAGCAAAACTTTTTTAAATACAATTAAATTCTATTGTCCAAAGGACTTGAGTAAACTTGTGTAAGGTATTTTTTAGGTACTATAAATGCTTTTTCAATGGAGATAAGTTACTGCAATATATAAATTTCCAGGCGTAGAATGGAGAATCACCAATTTAAGGATCATACAATGTAATTGCCATGGCGTTTATGCTAAAAAGAAAGGAAATTTTGTCATTGATAACTGCACACAGAATAATTCATTTTTTATGATAAAATAATACATAATACAGAGTAGATATTGTAGTAATAATCATTCATTCAATCATTCTTACATATTAGAAATCTAATTCAATTTGCATATTTTCAGACTAGGATTATTTAAATTTGATTTTGAACTTTCATGCATGAGATTATTTACTTTTAAATTCAATTACTACAACTAAAACGCTCGCTAAAAAACGATTAACGTCGATTACAACTATGACATTGATAACGCAATGCCTTCCATCGCTATCTAATTCACAGCTGATTTTATTTTCCTTCCCATTGGTGACTGCTATCACACCATTTGTCGTATTTTTAGTGATAAATATTAGTTTTATTTTTATTGGTTTCTTTTATTTTATATAAAAATTGTGTAAAAATTGCATTTATTTTTAGTGTATAAATGAAAGTTAGCAAATAGATTAATTCCTTAAGTGCAAATGAAAATGTGCGATGGATCGGAGGAATGCTGCAGTGAGTAATGCGAACGTTTACCTGCTTTTATTTGCTGGTTAACTAAATTATATTTATATCGGAGTTCAAATTAGTGAAGTGTGAAAGTTTTTGTTTATATATTTGAATATGTATTGAAATAACCATTGATTGGTTGATGTTTAATGCTTATTATAATTTTATTTGTTTGCGTTTTAGCGGCTTATTTGCATGAAAGCAGACATATTTGTACATACGAAGAGAACCCAACTCGCGAATGACAATTGTTTCGTTCGTGAACAAGCGGGAAGTGATAAAAGATTGCACAAACCATAAATCATTAAATATTTTCCCGCGTATTCGTAAATATCACTTATTCGCTGATATATGTTATAAATATGAATTAGTTTTGTTCACATATTATTTTTTTATTTGCTGATATAATCCGAGGACTGAACATTACAGCCTACTATAAAATAAAACAACTTTTTTTAACTGGAGACAAATACCTCCTTTTTAATAACCAAAAATCAATTTAAAGTTAGGTAAATATCCTTATTAGCTTTCGACATCTTAATTCACCGAAGAGCACGTTCGATTCAATACAATAATTCAAAGTTAACTTTTTTAATATACATACATACATATTTACTTATTGTTAGTGATGGCTGCATGCTTATAATGCAATTCCTAATTTAGTGATAAGGTTAAGCTTTCTATTGGACATACGTATATATGCAAAGTTTCACATATAATATATAATTTTATACATGTTAATGCATTATATCAATCAAACAATGAAATCTTAAATTATAGTTGCACTTCCTAAGCAAAGAAAAAAATGTATCCAAAGCTTCCGATAAACAATGAATTATGAATATTAAACCATAAGTTTTCGCCGTATTGCAATATTTGCATTGCTTAAAAAGCATTGGAACTATTAAGAGGTTTATTAGGTGTGCGCTATCATTTCAATATTTTCAAACCATTATGCAATATTTTACCATTGAAGACAAACTGGAAGCGGAAGCGATACACTCCAACGAACAGCTACTATCCTTCGAATTGCGAAGTAAAGACATACAATGGGCGAGCTATGTAACTCCGTTGGCGGCTCGCATTTCGCCAATATATCTACAAAGACAATATCAATTGATGAGTAATTACAGAGAACCTATTGGAAACCATAATAGACGCGAAGTTCTAGTCTGTCACGATATGATGGGAAACTATATGGAAGATCGGTATATAGCATATACTTTGAAATAAAAATTTATTTATAGTTTCTATTCTGCAGGCATTACCACTCATCTAAGAAGTATGATGACTACCGTTTTTACCACTGGTCCGGAATCGACTACTTCTGTTACTTTAGTCATAATTATATCACAATACCGCCTTGTGGTTGGTTAAATGCCGCGCACAAACATGGTGTACGAGTTTTGGGTAAGTATTGGAACATATAATGCGTGAAATATTAAACTTTACATTCAAAATATTTATGTTAATTAAAAGAGCAGTTAAACTTAAAAAAAATTTTTTTTTGCTATTGCAGGCACATTTATTACCGAAAGTGGGCACTCCAAATTGTTAAATGAAGTGTTGCAGTCAAAGGACATGGTAGATAAGATTGTCGAAGCTATGGTGAAGTTGTGTAAGCATTATTGCTTCGAAGGCTGGTTGGTTAATGTCGAATGCAAAGTTAAATTAGAAGATATGGAAAACCTTTAGTGAGTATGAAAACCAATAACATTTCCAATGGGATATCAAAACCAGATTAATTTCAGCTACCTCGTAGAACGCTTACGCTCAACTGTGGAAAGTGAAGTGGAATGCGGTGTGGTGTTCTGGTATGACAGCATCATTGATACCGGTGACCTGAGATGGCAAAATGAAATTAATGCAAAAAATGTGCGTTTTTTTCGTGCTGCGCATGGCATGCTAATCAATTATACATGGAATGATAGAAGTCTAGAGATGACAACGGAAATTTGTGAGCGCTCACAAGCTCAATGTCAGCGTGCCTTTTTTGGCATCGATGTCTTTGGACGTGGTCAAGTTGCCAAGTTTCAGTGTAAACAAACCTTGGCTCGCATTGTGAATCAACGATTTTCAACGGGCTTCTTTGCACCAGCGTGGACATATGAAACACTACAAATGTTCGGGTACAATATAAAACAACCGTTGGGAGATGACAGCGTAAATGATGCTTTCTTGCGCCGCAATGAGAAATTTTGGTGCTCTTTATGGGAACATCTGGCTACACATCCCTACCATACATTACCATTTTATTCCGATTTTTGTTTGGGTTCTGGAAAAAGCACATACGTAAATGGTCGCCCAAGGAGTAGTGTGAGCGGCAGTGGTGGTGGTGATGGCGAACAATTTTTTAATTTATCACGCTGTTCGCTACAGCCATCAGTTCCGCTATATCAGCTCGCTGAGCGCTTCTATTCCGACGCTTTTAATGGCGGCTCGTGCCTCCGTATATTACAGTATAATAATAGCTTCCGTGTGTTTGTCACCGACTTTAAGCTGCAAAGTGGTGGACTTGTTTTTGCATACGCTTATAAGCTACAACCAAGTGATGGCGAATTTGACTGCATTTTGCGTTTTTGTACTAGAAATAATGCACGTGATTGTTATCTTTTTATGGGTGATTATTACGATACAACGAATTTGCAAAAAGGACGCTGCTACGTTTCTCCATTAAAGCCGAAATATTATAATCTATTGCATAGTAATAAGTTAGATACACCAAAAATACCCAAGGAAATTTCGCTGCCTGAAAATATGGCAAATGGGTGGCGCGTACGTTATTATGTGGTGGCTTTTGATGGCGCCATTCAAGTCAAGGATATTGGCGTACTGTATCGTCGAAGTGCAGAAGCAACAGACACTGCCTACTTGGGTGCCGTCTACCTGAATGAGTGTGATGTGAATACGCTTGACTTCCCACAAGATAGCAATATTGCATTAATACAAATTTATGGAGAGGATTTGCTTAATTAACTTTTGAAGATAAGGTCCAACGTTAGTCAAAAGTCAGTAAAATGTTACTCTTTTGGCTTTTGATTAGTATTCTTTCCAAATATATATACACATTTATATGATTATGTAAACAAATTTTATACAGTTTTTTTTTACAATTTTAACTATTAAAGCTTAAACGAAAATGAATTTTGGCTCCACTATAACTTCTTTGGGGCAAAAAAATGATGCTTATAGCAAAATCTTGCATCCGCATTTTACCTTTAACATTTGTTGTAATTAATATTAAAGTGGTAATTTTGTGATTCTCTTTCCAATAATTGATTTTTGAGTTAAAAAGACCTAGACCAAATGTACATATGTATATGTTTACAAGTACAATTCCTATAGCATTGAAATGTATAAAAATATCTTTAACTTGAATTTGATTGATTGTTGTTGTTGTAAAGGGTACCTAATTCCCGTTATAATGATAAGGATTAGATAAGTTGCCGTCATCGTCATCCTACGGTAGGCCCAGAAAACATGCTGTTTCGACGGGGTCGGATCACAAGAGAAGTATGAGTAGGGTTAGCAGGGCATGCAAAGAGGTGACCAGTGTCATGCGGAAGCTGGACATATATTAGATATGTCAGGGTCTACTCTGGATAAGTAGAAGTTTAACCTGCTACAGTATCCAGAACAAAGCTGCCTTGATCGGTCCGATTTGGGCAATAATTTGGCCAATTTTTGTGCAGATAAGTTTTCAAATAGAAAAGTTCTTAAAATCACTTGATTTTGATGGGTCAGTTTGTATGGAATTTTGTTTTAGTGGGCCAATATCGGTGAACTGCTCACATTGATCATGTACATATGTATATGTTTTATTGAGCTTCCGAAGTTTTCTTCTGGCTGTTACAAGCTTCGGGTAACTTAATATATCCTGTTCTTATAAAGAAACATCGAAATTAGTCACTATAAGAGTGTGAGCTCGTGCGACTTTTTCTCATGCCACCACCCCCTTCAATATGGAAAGGCCAAAAACGTTTCAATTTAACACTTTGTCCTCTTTCCTTTTCAATTACTCATTTGCCGGTTGTTGCCACACCCGTACATCAGTAAGAATTTGTAAAAAAGGATTTATCGACATAGTCTCTTACGAACATAGGAAAGAGGTTAGTCTGTGTATGTCAGCTTGTATTACCTCTGGGTGTATGTGTATGTGTGTATTACCTCTCAAAAACACAAGTTCTTAAGTTGACTTGTTGAGAATACGCCTTTGTTTTCCTTAATGCATAGCCGCGCACACTTTTCTGATTTTATGTGACAACATGCTCTTTGGATATAAAATGGGCTTATGGGTATCTAGTATATTGCTACACAAAACATCTATACATACATGTATGTATATAAAGTTTCATTACAAAGAAATCCACACTTATATATGTACAATACATACATATATAATCACCGCAACGAACGGATAGGGGTCGATTAAAATCCAGCCCTCCTATGGAAAACCTGTTCAAATGTTCAGATCGAACTACCATATCATATAGCTAACATACAAAGCGCCCAATCAAAACCAAGTTATGTTATGGAATCTTTCGTATTTGTGATTGTACCTTGAGTGCAATTGAAGATTACGTTTTTTCTTGCTTTTGCTATTATTCATGTCCTTTTCTAAAAAATTGAATCACGCTTTTCACGGAGGAGTTAAATCACTGTGTCAGAAGCTCAACGTAGCGACATACTAACTGAGCACATACCACAGCCACGCTTCAAAATGTTAGGGTAGAGGTATGGCAATGTTGATACTAATTTTATGAGCTGCTCATACTCTATGCACATATGTATGTATGTAGGTATGTAAATATTTATATGACTTCTTAACGAACCGAATCGATAGCACGCGCATCCACGGCTCCAACGGCTCTAAGAACAATTCACATACATACATACACACATATATTAGCAGCGGTGGATGTCAAGTACCAAACAAACAAAAGAGTTTGTTTGTTAACACTAAAGTTAGGTCAAATACACTTTGCGAATTGGCGATGCAGCAAATCACTTGGCAGTGATACTTGCACGAATGACTATTTAAGTACATACGTGTGTGTGTGCTAGTAGTTATGAGTACATGCAAGTACATACATACATGTATATAGTATGCTTGGAAATTTGTGGAAATAGGCCACCAACTTATTGTGCTCTGGCACATTTTATTAGATCATGAGCACATATCCACATTTATATTTACATATAGGCATATTATAAATATGTAGAGATACAGAAACACTTTAAATAAACTCTATCCATTTAATAGTTTCATGAGATAAACTCAATACGAAAAAGTCTAAAACATTTACAAACTTCTTTTATAAAATATACAGTTATTAGTTCAACTGCATCGGTTTTCAAACACAAATTCGAGTTCCACCTTAAAATCTGTATGTATGTATGTATGTATGTGCACATGTGAGATAGATGCATTTATTTATGAAATAACATACACTAATTGCACTCACTTTTTAATAAATATCCGCTGCGTTTGTTACGCTTTGAAAGTAGATTATTTTAAGATTATTTTACTATATTGAATATGTATATTTTACCCGTAATTATATTTGCTTTTTAGTGAGAATTTAACATTGGATTGTATTAACAACTAAGTACGAACTATTTTATGCGCTAGCCAAACAACGTACATAAATCATTCGCTTTATATGTACAGCATTTGAGACGAATTTGTCCCGCTTTTAGGCAGCCAAGCCCCAAAAAGCACTGAATGCCTTGCTTCGCGTGAGAGAGTACAACGAAAGCACATTATCCACTCCCATGGAGATAATAAACTCAACTGATGCTGTATTGCGGCATGCTGGTGGCACAAACTTTTCCATACAAATTCTCTGTTGTCGTTGATGCTGCTGCTGCTGGTGTTAACATTGTCGGGGTTGTTCGGCATTTATTTGGCTAAAGCGTTTTGTTTGGCCTGCAAAATCCCTACCTTCGCTTACAAGAAAATATTTTCCAACTTGAAAAATAATACTTTTAAAATGTGTATGTACATACATGTTCGGAATTCGTAGTGTTGCTTTAAAAAATAATCCGTGCCAAATTTCGTCAACCTATCTTGTCAAATAAAAAGGTTTTTGATCGTTCAGTTTATACGGCAGCTATATGCTATAGTGGTTCGAAATCGACGGCTCCAACAAATGAGCAGCTTCGTGGGGAGAAAAGAACGTGTGCAAAATTTCAGACCGAAATCTCAACAATTCAGCGACTAGTTCGCATATATACAGAAGGACATAACTAAATCGATCAGATAAGCAAGCTGATCATTTATAAATACATACATACATATTCATATGATTATATATACATACATATGTATATAGGCACTCCGCCATGTAATGTTGTTCATATAATGTTGAGAAGATCATATCAAGATTTAGGAACAGAAAACATATCTTAAATAAAAGTTCATTCTCAGACCTTCTAAAAACCACACAACGTAATATCTGTAAAGAAACAAGTGAAATTAAGGGGTCCTTTACGGTATGGCTCGTGATGTCAACGGTTTTAAACATTTAAAGCAATCTAACACTACCGGCGTCATCACACTCACCTTTCATTGCTTCTCTTACTGATATGCCCTTACACACCCAGTCAAGTGTAAGCCGAAAGGGAATAGTACATAAATGCGTGAGCGTAACATTTTTATTTTATTTTTACAGGAGTGCTAAGTTTATTGTTGTTGCTTGTTTTGCCATTCACGCAACCACAACTTTATCCCATGTTTCTTGCGTCAGCGACGAAATACGCTCCAAATGCGTATGCTCCAGTTCAAATGAGAGCCGTGGGCCGTGGGAGCTTTTTGCCATGGCTGCCGCTTCTAGATAATTTTGACTGTAATTACAATTTAATAAAAGCTCTAGCGAAGAAGAACAAGCGTTAACGCTTTTCGACAACTGTCAACGTTGGCGGTTTTCGTCCATAACTCTGTTGTTTTATGTTAAAAATGATTTTTTAGTATATTATAATTATGTACATACATACATATATATAAATATGTATCAACAAATTTTTCTAAACACCTTTTGTACTTACAGAACTATGAAAACTTCGGGTGTATGTGTACTTTTGTCCGCCACTGTGTCAATGTACATATGTATGTACATGCTACATGCATATACATATATACGTACGTATGTAGATATTTAGACCCGCACATTATGATAAGGCATGATTTGCAATTTTTTGCTCTCACAAACGAATTATTGCCAAGTGCTCTTGGAGGAAAAGTCTAACGGAAAAAATTCGATGAAGACAAAAATACCTCAGTTGTGCATTTATTAAATTAATATATGCTCACTTATTCTATAGTGGGCGGCCAAACTTCGAAAGGAAATAAACAAAAATATAATATTTTGATAATGATATTTCTATAAATAAAATAATTATCGGTTTGTTATCTATGTATATGCACTTATGTATGTATGTAAGTATCAGAATTCAAATGAGTGCCAAATTGAAGTTCATAATATTCTTAATACTTCTAACAGGCAGAAAACAATTAGGGTTTTTATAATCTTGCAACTTGCAAGGATTAAAGCCAAGAAGTACCTTCATGTACATGAGGCCTGTAAATTATATGCGATCTAGGGCCTTTACCCGATTTTATTCATTCTAGGCACAAATATGCACCGTTATAAGAAAAACGCGTTTTTATTAAAATAATTCACATATTGGCTGACACATGCGGTATGAAGTCACCCGGAAGTTCGAAAATTTCTATATTAGGTATATGAGGGTTAAGGAAATTAATGGCCCAATTCGAGAAATTTGTAACACCCAGACATACTACCATCAGGAAAAAATTGCCTCTCTATTGAGGCTTGAACAGTTTTGCTTCAATTTGGACCATTTTAAGTGGTAAGGTTTCACACCTCAAAAGCACTACATGTGAAAATTTGTATTTTGATATATTAATTGATTTTTGATTTGACGTAGGCGTGGCTGTAGTCACGGCCATTTTCACACGTTCATTGGACACGGCTCCTTTAAGGAACTCTCATACCATAAAAATAAATATAATATCTCTGGCGTATTTCGTAATTGATTTATTGCGCTTTTAGTACGTTTTTTTGTACCGTGATATAAGGATAGGGCGGGGTTAACATCCGAAATCATCAATTTTTACTCTGTCGGTAGAAGTTCTTATAATATTTGCGCACTGCGAATTTTATTGCTGTATCTTTATGGGTTTATGAGATATGTACAATAAACTTATTAGAGAGTTAAGACACGCCTACTTTTTGTTTTTAATTTTGTACCCACAGGCATAATCTGTAGCAACATATTTCAAGAGTACAAAACTTTAGTAAAAGAAATCAACTTTAAGTATACATACACATGTACATATATAGAAATATGTTAATATAATTACTCATTTCACAACTTTGATAATAGTAAGAACAAAGTTCAAGCCTTTTGTTTTCTTGAGGTATTTGTCAAAATCTTAACATAAATATTTTTCAATTATATATTAAGTACACTCATACTATATCATATTAACTTGAGAAAATCTCATCGGCAGTTGTGAAATTATACAAGCAAAGTTTTTCCTACGGGGAATTACAAAATTTTTATTAACGCCTATTGACAGGCCTGCATGTACATATTATATGTACATATCTGTCTACATCACTGCAAAAATAACAGAACAAATGTGTTGTAAAGTCCTCTGCTACTAGTCATCTATTAAACAGCAGTGGACCAGTTGACGGCTCTATATGAGAAGTGCTAGAAAGTGTAATTATTTGTTTTTTCTGAAACGATAATTTACTTGTATATTCAATATGAAAGTACAAATATCATCGGGAATACGAAAACATACCTGACAAATTTTAACACTTTCAATTCTCGTTCACGTTACAAATATTTATATATGTATATATGTACATCGTATATATCGTCACCTAAAATGCAAAATAACGTATCATCAAAAATTTGGATCACGATTCACTACCTCAAATTCCATACATAATATTACATACGTCCACCATATTAAGTTTTTTTTTTCACTGTTGTTCCATTTAATTTCGTGTTTCATTCACACCACTGTAAATTTTCGAAAATGTTGTTACGTTATTTTGCATTTTAGGTGACGATATGTAACATTGTTCTAGTACCTTCAAGTATCTAACAAGAAACGTAGTCTCGAAAGTATGAAAAGAACGAGTAGTCACGTCTGCACGTCTTTCAGGAAGAACTCTGATGCTCTGAAGAGTTGGAATATCTGGTCTAGGACTTTGTTAAGTGATCAATACATTTTTTATGAATTTTATTTGTTACTAGAGTACTCTCTAGACCATGTGGAGTAGGTTTATGATGCATGTCTCGCCATTTTGCACGTACCTATACATATGTATGTTGATATTTTTATTGCAAATATGGAACATGAAAGCATTCGTATGTGGTCAGTCTCTCTTTTTCACACAAATTAACTCCACAGCGCTGGGTATAAATAGCTAATATACAATCAAATTTGCAAGTCAGTTGAAACTCGTTGCCGCGTAAACATTTCGGCTGTTTGTTCCTGGTTGAAAAAAAATAAATAATAATTAAAATAAAAATGGGCAAAATTGTATTGTATGGGATAGAAGCCAGTCCACCAGTCCGTAGTGTATTATTGACACTGAAAGCATTGGATTTACCATATGAATTTATAAATGTCGATTTGTTTGCTAAAGCCAATAAATCGGAGGAATTTCTGAAAATTAACCCAGGCGGTACAGTACCGGCTTTATTGGATGATGGTCAGGCGATTTTGGATTCACATGCTATTATCGCATACTTAGCAAGCAAATATGGCAAAGATGATTCTCTCTATCCCAAAGATCTGGTGAAACGTTCAGTTGTCGATCACCGTTTATACTTTGAGGCTAGTATGGCCTTTGAGCGCGCACTACGTGGAACAACAAAACCTATTATCTTCGATAATGAAACTAATGTGCCACAGCAAAAAATCGACAATATAACTGAAGTGTATGGTATAGTGAACAAATTCCTACAGGATCATCCTTATGTTGCCGGCGACAACTTGACCATTGCAGACTTATCACTGATAGCATCGATCTCCTCAATGCATGCTTATATAGATAGCGATGCCACTAAGTATCCCAATTTGGTTGCATGGATTAAGCGCTTGGAGAAGTTACCTTACTATGAGAAAGCGAACGGCAACGGAGTTAAGCAGTTTATCGAATTGATTAAGTCGAAAAATATAACCATCGTACCTTAATCTGAAATATACGCATAAATGTGTGTTCTTTAATCAGTTTTGTGTTGTAAAATTGTTTTCGATACTACAGTTATCTATCTGTATGTATAATATTTGTTATATATGTACATATATGTAGTGTAAACAATACGACTGAAAATATAAACCTTTCAAATAAATGTTTAATAGAAAGCAAAAAATATAACTGCAGAGCTTTGATCAATGATAATATAATTATTTGTAATTATAGCGACTAGAAGAGAGAAAATACTGAAAYAGGTTCTGTGGGAGTGTATTTTTTTCCACACCGTGAGATCAAATATATGTATGTATATACACTGGTGGTCATATTTATAGGAACACTTCTATTTATTTTGAAACGTTGTTTTATTTCTCAATTAAAAAATGACATAATTTTCTAAACGGGGGTCATTATACATACGTATTATCTTATTATTCGATTATCGATTTATTGACTGATTGATTGATTTAAGAGAAAATCGTTTCTTGGSAACGTACGGAATAAACCGAAAAAAATTTATATTGACAAATAAATTTTTTGTTTTTCAAAAAATGCTATTTTAAGTTAGTATTTAGTCATATATACCACGKAGCGAAAAGAAGAAACGACTGGCGCGCGGTTGTTAACTCSGCTATAATTGCGTAAGCGGTGTCGACGCCACCGGTGAAATCGGTTCAGACTCTCACCTCTGTCTTCCTATGACTAAATATAATGTTGTTCGTTATTCAGGTTTATACTTACGATATTAGCGATTAATGTGTTAGGAAAATACATATGTAAGTATGTATATAAAAGTAACAAAGAAATCGAAAACGAAGGAGACCATGAGTTTGGCTTTGGGGGATGCGCTCGGATCATTTTGATAATAAATAAATTTTGATAACAGGTTGTAATCTTTGGAAAAAAAACAAAATATGTACATACATATAGTATATACAGAATGTATAATAATGATCTTACTTACGTAGGTTGCGTAGAGTGGAAATTCACAATTTTATTGTAAAGTTTGACATTTTTGATGGTATGCGTTCTCAGAACGTTTTGACATACAACCGCTATTTGTGCTGGTTACAGTGACTTAAAATATTCTTTTCGACCATTTTTTTACAACTTTCGTCGAGGACTAACTTATCAAGAGTGCATAGATGAACTTAACTCAATTTTTGACGATGAAGCTCCATCAAGGACCAATGTTTCGATAGTATGATTAATATAATCGAGGCCGTACATTCAAGACTTATTTCGGGAAGGTCGTTCAAAATCAGTTGTTGTTCTGGAAACTGATATTCCAAGATCATCATGGAACATATGATGAAATTAAGACAACTATAGGCATAACTGGCATACATTCATTCACAATTGAGTGAAAATATATATGTTCGCGTTGCTTTGAAACATGACTATGCCATCCTGACAGATGATGAATCGAGGATTTAGGCGCATGAACCCGAAGTAAACAGCAGTTGACTGTATGGATGTATAGTTGTGAACCAAACGACTTCTTTTCCCGTTCGTAAAAAATAATCGCCAACGTTTTTCGATACGTAAGGCATGTTTTGGAGATACCTCAATCAGAGTGACCAAATTGAAAAAACAAGAACGTAATTAGGTTACTCACTACTTGTCATAACGCATTGTAAAATTATAATATCACACACTTTTACACTTGTTTCAAAAAATTCTTCTTGTATTAAATACAAAAATTGGTTTACTTTTAAAATTCACGTACATAATTGTATTGATATTTCTGATGGCATAGATCATTTAACGGTTTATTTTTTGTAGTAAGCTTTTTATCATTTAGAAAGTGCTGAGTCAGGTTAATAAAATTGTGAAATCAGCGGATTAATAATCACTCACAATTTTTGATCATAAGAAGAATATAAGAAATAAATGTAGATAAGTGCAAATATAAACATAAAAATGATAAAATTGTTGTTTTCACCTAGTTTAACATTATATCTGTCACAACCCAAACCGAAAAAAGTAACGGTGAAAATTTAGCGTCTGTATCTTTATCATTCTTATTTTGCACACAGTATAAACAGCTATGTATAACGGCAATAAATATTGCAARTCTAGGGTTATCCAATGTTTGTAACTCGTTACCGGACAAACATTTCATCTGTTTATCTCATTGTTAAGAAAAAATTAATTAATAAAAATAGGAAAAATGTGTTGTATAGTATAGAAGTCAGCCCACAACTCCGTAGTATAGTATTGACATTGGAGGCGTTGGATTTACCATAAGAATTTAGACATCTCGATTTACATACTTGCTCGAGGTAATAAATCGGAGGAATATCAGGCGATTTTGGATTCACCTGCTATTATCGCATACTYAACAACCAAATATGATAAAGATGATTCGCACTATCCTAAAGATCTGGTGAAACGTTCAGTTGTCGATCACGGCTTATACTTTGAGGCCAGTATGGCCTTTGAGCGTGACCTACGCGGAACMACAAAACCTATAATCTTCGATAATGAAACTAATGTGCCACAGCAAAAAATCGACAATATGGTTGAGGTTTATGGTATAGTGAACAAATTCTTACAGTATCATCCTTATGATGCCGGCGAAAACTTGACCATTGYGGATTTTTCACTGATAACATCGATCTCCTCAGTGCATGCGTATATAGAGCGATGCATGCAAGAGAGCGAGAGTATCACAATTTGCATGGATTAAACGATTGGACAAGTTACCTAGTATGATGCACCGGAGGAGGTATCGACAGTGAGGCTGCTGAGTCTGTTAAAACTCACGTCTAGCGCAGACATCCTAAACGATGACTACTCCTGTTGGAACCTAACCTAACTTACCTTACTATGGAAATCATTTAATCTAGTTGATTAAGTCGTAGAATACTACCATCGTACCTTAATCTGAGATATACATACATATGTACATATCCTGTTACATAAATATGTACATATGTATTGCATATTTCAGATAAATATTTAATAGAAAACTGGAAAATATCAAAGCAAAGTTTTTCTAAATGACCATATAATTGTTATTAAAGAGACACAAAGATAATATACGTAGACAAACAAAAACACTATCATTATAATTATTTAATCAATAAATAATCAGTCGTTATCGTATGTTGTGTATTTATAGTATGTCTATCTGCCGGTTYTGTGGGAGCGTATTCTCTTCTCCACCGTGAGATCTACTGTATTATTTGAGATACAGTGGTGGTGACATAATTAGGAGTGTTGCTATTAAAAACCGACATCTTTTTTAACGTTTTTATATGTATTTTTATGTTAATTACAGGCTTATCGAAAAACAAAAAAAGGTTTAACTGCGATATAATGTCTATCATTCGTAAGAAATCAGATAGCCGATTGCTGTTCGGACAGCCGATAGKACAATATAGACTCCAATTTGTCAATTCTWTGAATCGTTATTAGTATATTTCGAWATTACAACMTGGYTAYAAGCATTTTATATTTAATACTCACATTCGGAATATATTATTGAAGAAGCTTTAATAATTAGTRTCATCTTAGTAATATTTTAGGCAAACCTAAGCAATGAGTTTGACTTTTTGTAGCACTCAAAAATGTTTGCATTATCTTTTTACTCTATTTTCTATCAATTACTGCTACATACATACATATGTAAGATAATATATTCAAATATTATTTCGAATTTGGACACAGCTGATTGCCGTAACAGAGACTGCCTTGTCAGAACAGCGCCTTACTCAACTGCTCATTTGTCATGGCAAACGGCTCAACACTCGTTTTGTTATCGAGAAGTACTCATTGCTAGCAAGTAGAGTAATCATCGCAATGAGCAGTTCTGGGAATTTCAATCAAATATTGATTATATCTAACACTTTTCAGAATTTCTCAAAATTAAMATAAGTGTTTAAGCCAAAAATATATGAATAAAACTACGATCACGTTTTAGAATTAGTGCAAAATACGAGTACGTTTATTCCGTTGCGAAAAAGTATGCATATGACAGCTGAGTTAATTTTGTGCAKTTATGTATATGGAAAGTGACCGATTGACAATGCGCACTCTACCCGAAAAGCCTCCGAGCTCTCAATGGCCAATTGCCATTTGATGAAGAACAGMTGATTTTCGTTTACCTACGCAACGCATTCTTTGTGACATACCTATACGTTACGTACACCTCTTCTTTCGCATACTTATCCGTCTTTGACGTACAAGTACCCATTCCTACTCGGCCTTTAGTTGTTGTTAAAGATAAAAGCTATCATTGTCAAATTGCATTTAAAAATTCGAGTWTGAAAAGCGTATTCGTCATAGAATGTCGTCGGTGAGTTCGCCGACTTATTACTGTAAGAGTGTGTGTTTCAGCATTCTCTGACCAAATTATACAGTTCGGGCACATCAGATCAGATCGGACCGTTTAAAATCAAGAAAAATATCTTATGATACCCTTTTATTCTACAAAAAATGTACCTTTGAAGGGTATTATAGCTTCRGTGCAGCCGATGTTAATGTTTTTTTTTAGTGTTATTCATGCGCCTATTTGTTGGCAAAACCCAAACCCTCGCAAACCCAATTTTTTGGGTACTTGTATTATTGGTGGCTCTTTACTTTTATTTATAGCACAAAAAGTATTACTGCAGTTCTGCAATAGATAGTCAGGTAGAGTGGCTGCCTTACGAAACAAATTAATTAGTTGAATTATTTATTGGACAATTTGAAGTAATAAATAAATAACTTTGAATATTAAGTCCATATTTATTAATATATGTATATGTATACATACATACATATATTGAAATGAATAACAAAGCGCAACAAAAAGTTTTAGCCGACTCAGAGAGAGAGATAGTTTAGTGTTTCATAATAATATTTACATACTATATAATCAATAAGTTTTAGTTAAACATATTAACGAAAATCAATAAGAGGTTCAGATAAATATTAGAAGAAGAGAGGAGAGAGATGTTTTATTGAGGTAGCATCATGCTACTACTCAMAGAAATTGCTGTCACTTCATAACATATTCTGGACCTGGGCCTTTGCGATATTTTCCTGTTCTCATAGAAATTTAGCGATAATGRAGAGATATAAGCCATCCAAGGCCAATAGCAATAATAATTAAGTTTGTTGAAAAATAAAATCGATCGTTTTCGATTTTTTTTTATTTTTTAATTTTAAATAAAAATTAAGGCTGAATGTGAGACAATCTGAAAACGAACACTTTTCACCGTTTTTTGTTATTTAAACTGGATATATTAAGTTTTCCACGAAGTTCGTAAAACCCAAAAGAAATTTCGAAGACTATAAAATATTGGGTAGTCGAAAAAGTCTTTTCGTATTTTGCCAATAGATGTTGTTCCAGTTGTATATCTTCAATGCTACAAATCACATTGTATCATACCATATAGTGTTGGAAAGGTGAGATTTTAAGCTTYATTTAGTCAAAAACAATTAATTTCGACCTATCGTTGAAAAATTCGATGAAATTATGGAAAAGATTGACCAGGCAGCCATGACATCGCTAAGGAACTTAACATTCATCATCAAACGCTTTTGAACCATTTAATAGAAGGTTTGCTGTTTGGGTACACATGAATTGTCTGTGAAAAATTGAATGGTCCGAATTAACATCTGCGATTCTTTGSTGAAACGAAATGAAATCGARCCATTTCTGAAAGGAATGGTAGCATAAGACRAAAAGTGGATCAAATACGGCAATAATGTGAGAAAAAGATCATGGTCCAAGCGTGTGAAGCTCAATAAATGGTCGCAAAGCCAGGATTGACGCCTCGAAAGATTATGCTGAGTGTTTGGTGGGATTGAAACGGAACTATCCACTATGAGCTGCTCCAGCCTGTTCGAACGATTGGTTCTACATTTTTCTGTCAACAATTAATGAGATTGAAGCAAGCAATCGRAAAAAAACCGCCAGAACTGATCAATAGAAAAGGCTTAGTCTTCAATCAGGACAACGCTGGACCACACACATCTTTGATGACTCGCCAAAAACTGGGAGAGCTTTCTCTGGGAAGTTTTGATGCATCCGCCATATATTCCTGATATTGCATCATCGGACTACCATTTGTTTGAGTCAATGCAGAACTCCCTTAATGGAATAAAGTTGGCTTCAAAAGAAGTCTGTGAAAATTTCTTGTCGCAGTTTTTCGCCGAAAAACTAGATTGAATGATGTCTCTAGCGAAAAAATGGCAGAATTATTAAAAAAAAAAAGTAAGTTGAAGTATGATTAGAAATACGAAAAGACTTTTTCGACTACCGATATGTACATAAATGACGAGCATGACTAGCCGAGTAAATTTGGCCAAATCCGTCTGTCTGCTATATATATACGAACTAGTCCCTCAGTYTTTGAGATATCAATCTGAAGTTTCTCCAAGTAGCTGTTCATTTGTCGGCACAGCTGTTATCGGACCACTATAACATATATAATTTATATGCCAATATAAATATATAATTATTATATCAAACTGAACTACTTACAATTCTGTGAAATGAAACGAGTATGGTAGCTACTGGTACTGAATTTTAGGCGGAGAGCTCGTGATAACCAGGTGTTCTTTGTAAATTTATACATATGTATTTATAAGCGTGTATGTCGCACATTTTTACTAGCGTATGATTACGTACGCGTTAAATATGTACTTGTGTTTTCAATATACCACACATTGTAAGTTTCAAAATAAACAAAGTCCAATCGAATAAAACCGAAGCAATCGCGCTTCCAGCGGCTCAGTTAAGTACAAGCGCTCAACACGGTCGCCAGCAGAAACAGTCGCAACGGATGAAATCCTCCATTCAAGCAGATAGATAAATCCACACGAAACATTTACGAAAACCTGTAACCAGAAGAAAATGGGAAAACTAGTGTTGTATGGCGTGGAGCCAAGCCCACCAGTGCGCGCTGTGAAAATGACCCTGGCAGCGCTGGGTCTACAATACGAATACAAATTAGTCAAACTACTTGATGGWGAGCACAAAACGGCAGAATTTATGCGGAAGAATCCRCAGCATACTGTACCTTTGCTGGAGGATGATGGTCAATACCTCTGGGACTCGCATGCAATTATGGCATATCTGGTACGTCGCTACGCTAAAGACGATRCACTTTATCCGAAGGACTTCATCCAACGCGCCATTGTCGATCAGCGTCTACATTTTGAAACGGGAGTTTTGTTCCAAGGCTGTTTACGCAACATAGCATTGCCTCTCTTCTATGRCAACGCTATCGAAGTGCCACGCGCTAAAATTGATGCAATTTATGAGGCATACGACTTTCTGGAGGTCTTTCTCGCTGACCAACCCTACCTGTGCGGACCGACCATCACTCTAGCCGACTTTAGTAACATCTCGACCGTTACCAGTTTCGCTGGGTTGGCGCCCATCGATGCGGCTAAGTATCCGAAATTGAAAGCTTGGGTCGCTCGCATGRGCCAAATACCGAACTATAATCAATCGAATGGTTATGGCGCACAAATGCTTGTAGATATGTTTAAGGAGAAAATCCAAAGGATTGTATAAAGATTGTGTTACAAAAGAGAATGTGATAATGATATAATTGTGATTTTAAGTGAAATAAAATGAAATGTTAAGCGTATGAAACTTTAGAGATTTGATTTAAACAGATGCTGATAATGACGTTCGGGAATAATTATCAAGCATCGCATGTRTTTGTTTTATATAAGTATGTATGTACATGTGTATGTTTTTTTATAATGGCGTGATAAAATGTACTTAAACAATGAATACAGCTCCTGCGGTTTTTTGTTTTGTTTTTTGGTAACAGAAACAATGAACCCTCACAACCCATGAAAAATAGAGCATAGAATCGTTACGGAAAGTTACTTCTTGACTTGAAATCTTCCTGCCGATTAACTGTATACTAAACGAGGTTCCAGGGAAGGGCCGCTTTGACGCTTGATTTTCTTAATCTAAAGTTGGAGAAAGCAGACGAAACACCCGATGACATCGAAAAAAAACGCAAACTGAATAATGGCACCTTTGTATTAAATTTCATTCAGATACCTCAAAATTGAACGAAGAAATTTATACTATGCCGTAAAATTAAATTTCATTTAAAAACCGTTGGCTCGAAACCAGTTTTGAACCCATATTCTTTTAGGCAAAGTTGTTCAAAAGAATCCCTGTAAATCAACCCTCTCTAATATACATATGCATATACATACACCTACATATATTTTACTAATTACTTATACGGATTTATATACTATGTACTGTATAGCACAGTCGATTGTCACTTCGAAAGATGATAACGTAAGCCTCTACAAAAGTGATTTTCAAGTGACCTTGTCTATTAGTAATTAAAAAAACTATTCTTTATATGTCTGCATATTAATATGTAATCGCTTATAATCCATATTTTATCTTTATACACTGAATAATGCATATTAAGTTTGCCAGAAGGTTTGTACAAAGGAAAAGTGAGAAGCTCTATGATATATATACATACATACATACATATGTACATGAATGTATAAATGATCTGCGTGACGAGCTGACTCGATTTAGTCAAATGCATCTTGTTATTGTATCGGCAGAATTCTGCCGAGTTAAAAAATTTGGGTCTGTTTCAGTTACGTAGACCCGATTGTCTTGGGAACAGGCCCATCTATTTGTTCGCTCAGTTTTTGAGATATCGCTCTGAAATTGTGCACATGTATTTTTCTCTACAAGAAGCTGCCCATTTGTCAGCAATTCTACAGTACGCGAATGCGTGCTTTTAGGTCAGGCCTATCAAAATCAAGTTCTTCAATGGAAACTTGTATATTCATCCTAGGTATTATAGCTTCGGTGCAGCCGACGTTAAGGTTTTCTCTCTTCTTAGCATCCGTGTGGTTACAAATCGTAAAAAAATAGTTTGTAACATAATATCTAAAATCATCGAAAGACAGTTGTTTGAGCGGCAGAAAATATTCTCCAGATATGCAGGAATATCGCCGCTCTGACAGTGCTTGGCTGTTTATGTAACCATATCCATTCCACAGATCCGACTATTATTATTAAGTTATTTTTTGGAACACGTATGTATTTCGAAATTGTAGCTATGACACTAACTATTAYTTGTATCGAAAAGGCAGAGCATACAATTTTAGTCTCAAACAAACCAAAACTGGCCTATAACATAGTCTGTTTGGACTTTTATTTACCTATGTTTATTACATTTAGTTATTCGCTGCTACCAAAAAACAMAAATAAGCGCATGTTTTTTTAGTTTTTAAACAAATATAGTTCTATGTTTTATTGAAAAAAAAAAAAATATTTTTAATTATATCCATACAAAATTGCCAATTGCTTATCATTTTTTTTTTAACATTAAAGCTTTTATTGTCATTATAAAWCGTCTTTGTGGGAAATTTTTCATTAACACATCACGAATTTTTACATTAATCAAAATAAAATTAAAAATTTACAAATGCAGTTTTACATAAACTTGTGTATATTCGATATCAACTTTTTCATAGGAATTTCTAGTATATGCACTTAAATTCATATTTAAATTTTCTATAAAATTTCAAAATTTTATAAATTTAAACATTTACAAAAATTTGTATACATACATGGATTAAAATTGTGCTTAAAACCCTATTAAAATCTAAAACCAAAATATGCATTTTAACTTATCAATATTGGAATCACTTTAATTTGATTTCGCCAAACAACTGCTTATATACGTGTATGAACAGATTCTATTTCAATAACAAACTTTAAGCATAACAATCAATAGGATTGAACAATTACAGTACAGACATTTGCATGTAACATATAATATATGTATGTATGTATTTAGCCATGGCAATGGATATTTTTGAACATGCTCATGGTCATAAGACGGGGTTTTAATCTTCAAACATTTGTGCACTATTTTCATTTTATTGTACAACCATATAAAATATACTTTTATTAAAAAAAAGTTATTATAAAAAGTTTTACTTTATCCAAATCTTAAGTATTCAGAGATTGTACCAAGAATACAATATTGCACAGTACATAGTTTTTTTACTCCTTACACTGAAAGAGTCAAATGAAAATTTTGAAAATAATAGTGTATATACAGATATATACACTACTTAACGAGAACCTGGGCTTCGCCCGTCAATCCTATAAGGCACGGCATATAACCTTAACAACGTAGAAATGTTTAACATTATGAAGAAGGTTTTCTTCTGTCCACTTCGGATTTGTAAACTAATTTCATGCGCTGCACACAGTCGCGATGGTTTAACTCCCACAGCAGAGAAGTAATATGTCCAAGCGTTGCTACATTATCATCAGCATCATGGATCCATTGCAGCAGTAGCTGATAAATCACCTGAAAAGTTATTATCGTTTATTGACTTGCTTGACTACAAGTATTTAAATTCTCAATAATTTGAACAGCTTTTAAATTTTGTATGAGCATAAGAATATACCTCTTTGATTCCACCATGCATTTGATGATCGATTACGGCTTGCTCGATTTGTCCTTCCGAGAGACCCAGCTCTCGCATCACATGTTTCCAACCTTCGCCCAGGTGTGTAGATATAGTTTCCAATATACGGTGATTTGGCTCTTCACGTGACTGCATCATAGCCACAATTGAAGTAGTTTTACGTGGTAGTTGTCTTTTTGTGTTGTCTACACCATTAGAACAACTAGGAGAATTGGGTTCGTCACTTTTACCACTTTTGCGTGTGTTGTTGGTAGCTATACCACTTATGTTGCTGTTAAAATTATAGACTGAACCAAAATGCAGCTGTTTTATGTTGGAGAATTGCATTACCATTTGTTGTTGAGCATTATGTACATTCATGGTGTTCATAGTAGTTGGTGCCATGGCACCGGCTGATGTTGGCGTCAAAGCATTGCTGTTTGACTGCAAGGCAACTGCTCCCGTCTGGGAGTTCAATCCAGTTTCACTTTCGAATGCATTTGTATAATTTGCTGAATCAACTGAATTATAGTTTGGTGCGGAGAGTTCCCGAACCACTGATTCTGTTAGTTCTGTTGAAGGTGTTGGTGTGTTGTTATTGCTAACTTGTAATTCTTCAGGTTCATCAACGGGCAGAGCATCGGTTTCTAGCCTTCCTGGAACACTTTTACTACCAAGGTTAACGTCTTCGGTCTCACTTTTATTGCTAGTTTTTTGAGAATCTTTGCCATTACTGAAAATGCCAGGCAGAAATTTTTTTAGTTTAGGCATTTTTTTATTTTCGTTAAAATTAATTCGAAAATTTCAATTGATTAAGTTCGATTTTTATCAAGACTCCGGAAATTCCAAAGAAAACAAAGAATATACAAAAGAAAAAAAAACAATTTTCAATTTTTGTCAACATATGTCTTATGATTGTCAATAAAAATAAATTTACGTTTGATGTCGCTGTAAACTGTATGACTATTCGTTAAATGAAGCTGCCAACTTCTTTTTATATTTAAATTTATATTGAACCCAAAACTTTCTAAGAATAAAACTAATGTCCATAAATGAAAGCGTATATCATTAATTGTACATAAATTGCGCTAATATTAGTTGGTGGTTTGGATCTAATTGGCATTTCATAGAAATTTTCATATAACTAAGCATAAAAACTAGAATTTTTTTTTCACAACTTTTGTATGAAATTACATTTACTTACTTAATTATTTCTTGGTTTTTCAACATACAAAGTGGCCGAAGGTATCCAAAGTAAGCATTTTTCGTTCTCTCTGAAATCAAATGGTTTATAAACAATAAGTTCTGGTATACGGTTCCACAACAATCGGTTTTACATAACTGGAACGGACTCGTATTCCTGAAATATATATAAAAATGTTTTATTCAGTACCAACAACAACAACAACAAAATTTTTTAATTCCCAAATTAAATAAAATAACACACTAGCTGTTTAGAGTTGGAACACTATTGACTCGATTTCAAATTGATTTTCGATTTATTATTTTATACTCTCATGAAAATAAAATGTTCCTAAGATTCTACATATTTTATTACAGTTTTTTAATTAGCTAAGTATACAAAATGGCATCATTGATTTCTAAAATTCGTTAAAAAGGCACTCAACGAAGAACTTAACGAAGCATTCTTCGGGTTTTGACCATGTTCGGGTAGAGTGCGGGACTTTTTAAAAGTGCGCTTCAAACAGTAATTGCAACGGTTCGTGTGCATCAACATTTTCCACTATTCTAAAATTTCAGAAGAACTGTCGCAGAAAAGAATAGGTGGATTGTCATAATTGTAGTTAGAAAGGAGTTTAGTAACTTTTTTCTTTCTATCAAAAAGTGCAATTGAATTAGAATAAAAAATAATAAGAAAAGTCGCTAGACAAAAAATTTTACCAACTAGCTTATATTTTTTGTCGAATTGTTTAAGAAGAAATTRCCACAAAATGGTTGGCGCTACAAAAATCCGTATTGATGAGGTAAGTCAACCTAACTAGCATAATTTAAAGATAATATTATAGTTCATAAATATTAATAAATTTAATGACCTGTAAATAATATTACATACATACTAGGAAACTAAGGGAATTGGCTGATTAGGCCCTCGGCCCTTAGTTCATAAATAAATTTCTATATATACATATAAATTGGTCGTTGTGTACACATGTCTACCTACATGATTACAACTTATCCAAATCGGATCTATGTTCTTTGTTATTGGTTCTTAACTGAATTCCCGTTTAACTGTAGTATTAAAGTAGAAGGGGTGGAAACAAAATGGAGTATGGTACTTGGCGCCCAATTGAATTCTTATATATTTGCAAAAAATCGGTGTTCTGTTTGCACATGCCAACAATTTCCAAATATTCAAGTAACCCTTATACTTTTCACGGAAAATAAACGAGTTCTATCACATGGTTGCGAATTTTTTTTTATTGTGATACATTTCCAAAATATATTATAAAAATTATAATTTGCTTATCGAATATTATTTACATTTAAAATTTGTGCTAATTGTAATGTTTTAATTTTTTCAAAGAATGAAACAAACACCTTTGCCAAGGTAAAGAAATTTGGTGCTGCAAATGCAACTGAGAATACTAAGCGTGCAGCCTTAGGGGACTTACAGAATCGAGCAGTTCTAAGGCATGCCAATGGTAAAGAAGGTGCACAGAAGGAGTAAGTGCTATTTATTTTAAACAAAAATGTATTTTGATTACAAATTTAATGCATTTTCTCTTCAGTATTGACTCCAAACTGAAAAATGTAATTCAAAATACCAAACCACGTGTGGATACACATTGGAAAAAGGCGTCAGGAGCCACTGTCAAGTCTGCTGCTGAACAGCCGAAAAAGATTCTTACGCGATCAAATTCTACACGAGCTGAAACAGCAGCTTTGCAAAGAAATGCTGTGACTGGCCTTAACAAACACAAGACGCTTACTACAAAAGTAGTGGAACAAAAATTACAACAGGCAAAACGTAAGTATATGGTATATTGAAGTGCGTTTGAAAATTGGTTTACCATTTGTTTTATTTGTAAACATAGTTATTAAAGCAAAGGCTACACAGGATGAAAAACCAAAGAAATCTGGCGAAGCACTTACATTAAAGCGTGAAGACAGCAACTTATCGCTCAAGTCGCTGTCAAAACTAAAGGCAGCTTTGACAAGAGAAGCGAATAAGGTTACTGCTGGAAAACTAATAGCACAGAGCGTAAAACCAGAAACCAAATCTGTTTCTGAGTCGTCGGATTCAGACAGCGAAAGTAGCAAAAATGTTGAAGCACAATTCTCAAGTGCACAAACATACTCACCTGAAGTAGAAGATTTCGCTGAAATTGAAGATATTGATTCTGGCGATTCGGATCAACTGCTACTAGTATCGGAATACGTGAATGATATATATAATTACCTTTTTCAATTAGAGGAAGAACAGGTTATACGGGAAAATCATTTGGATGACCAAGTGGAGGTTTATCCTAAAATGCGCGCTGTACTCATCGACTGGATTAACGAAGTACACTTTCAGTTTCATTTAACACCAGAAACATTCCAAATGACAGTGGCAATTATCGATCGCTACTTGCAAGAAGTAAAGGATACAAAACGCACACATTTGCAATTGGTAGGTGTGACGGCTCTATTCATTGCGGCCAAGTATGAAGAGTTAGTTCCCCCATCGATTGCCGATTTTGTCTATATAACCGACGACACATACAATTCCAAACAAATCGTGCAAATGGAGTTGAAAATCATTAAAACACTCGAATGCAATTTGTCGCGTCCTTTGCCAATACATTTTTTGCGTCGCTTCTCTAAGGCGGCTAAAGTAGAAGATATACACCACGCGTTGGCTAAATATTTTCTCGAATTGACATCAATCGAATACGATTTAGCTTCATACAAGCCGTCCGAGGTAATATTAGAATATACTTTTTATATATATTAAAATTTATAAATATTTATCTGTCAGATCGCCGCTGCATCTCTCTTCTTAGCCCTGCATTTGCTTAAAGAGAACGCTAAAGCACCAACGGGCTTCAACAACAAACTCTGGTCTCCTACAATGCAATATTACTCGCGGTACACCGCAGAGCATTTGAGACCTATCGCCACGAAAATTGCAAGTGTGGTGCAAAATGCGCCATCTGCCAAACTAAAGGCTGTTTACACGAAATACCAATCATCGAAATTATATAAAATCGCGATGCGTTCAGAATTATATGATAAACTAATTGATTCAATAATTAACCATACCGAATGAGAAATAGTTACGGGCAGCTATAGCGACAGGGGCTGCAATGCGCTTAATTTTTGTTTATGTCGTTTAGTTTAATTGTTAGTTTTTTTTTTACTTTATTTTATAAACAATTCAATATTTTTATTATCAAATATTTCAAAAAAAAATATATATTTTTACTTTTAAGTTTTATGCGACAATTTAAATTAGATTAAAAAACACTGTCCCGGATCGTCGGTAAATGTCATAGATACAAACTTCCATGTAATGCTCTGCATTATAGCAATTAAGGAAGTTTGCAATTGCGGAATTATTTCATCGAAAGCAGCAATCAAGGACAATACTAACTTCAACTTCTGTTTGTACGAGTATTCGGATATTTAGTCTTAAATAAATTGCTGAATACCTGTTATAATTAATGTAATGTAGTGTCTGTATTAGAGTTTGTGAAAATGTAATATTTCCTAAATGTGAGGAAAGCACCACCGACTAACCAACGTATATTAGTGTCTAAATGTACTTTATATCAATTTTTGTATCAAAAATATTGCTGAGAAAGCGCCTTCTTTTCTCAACCGAAACCTATAAGTTCAAAAATACTTTTATCAAATGTGCTTGCTTCGGTTGTCATGAAGTCGGCGTTCTCATCAGCGCAAGTTTTTTTTTTTTATTCATATTATGTCCAATTTTGGCAGAATTAGAATTAATGTAGTTCAAAACCCCAAAAAAGAAAGAAAAACACACATTTTTAAATTGAACAATGTTTGTAGGCTCAAACTGAATGTAATTTCTGCTATATTTGTTTGTAATTTAAGGTTCACAAGCATAGTCGGAACGCACGCGACATCATGGTGTCTACTGCTGCCTCGAGAGTTTTTTTCCTGCTATGCCAGAAATAATTTTGATTGTGAATAAAATGTATTTTGCTCAAAAAATAATACCATGCATTTAATTTGAATTTTTTCAAGTAAATATTAAAATCCTTTGTAATGCTCTGTCTGCTTTATATAAGCGGATTTATTCTTTTTTACATGGTTTTTTGTTTTTGCTCCAGTCGACCTGCACAGAGGTCGATATGCCGCGCATATTTCGGTAATAGTAGCTCAGCAGCGAAGCGAAGCAACGCACCAAATACCGAAACATAAGAAAATTTCAAAAATTTGCTATCTACCATGTATGTAAACTTGTGTGAATGTGAATAGGAAGAGGCACATGAGGTAGGTATGTCAATTCCATCACGTCCGTTTAACTACTATCGCGCATACCGAACAACAATCATTGCGTATATTTGGAAAGTTGTAGACATTTCCCAAAACTGAGCCCCTGCCACTGCAGCGGCCATTTTTTCAGTCGCTTAGTGTAGTGGCTATGCGTCTTCTTCAGCGGTAGTATATGTGCTGATAAGGGGAAAGAAATGTTTGTTTGCCTCGCTTCGATTATCGGCTCTCCTCCGTTGGAAATCAAATATTTCTGTATAAGTAAGTTTGACCCCCTCATGCAATCGAATGCTCACTAGTGTGTGTGTGTTACGTCGTAAGTGTCGAAAAATAACGACGCTCATAAAACCGTCAAACTCGGATTTCGAATAGGAGCGCAGCAAAAATAAGAAAGTAGCACTTTTTTGGTCAAAATGTAAACAATAATAAT